CCAAGAGAGCCCCAAGAGAGCCCCAAGAGGGCCCCAAGACCCCTAAAAGAGCCCCAAGAAAGCTCCAATACCCTCCCAAAGAGCCCCAGGAGAGCTCCAAGAGGCGATTTTGAGGGCTCCTGGGAGGGGGCCGAAATCGAGGACCCCCCATCTTTTGATCGATGCTCTCCTAGATGGCCCCAACAGGCCTTCCAGGGCACCAGCCGCAGCACCAGCAGAGGCAGCAACAACATCAGCAGCACCAGCAGCAGCAGCACCAGGGATCACACTCTTTGGATCCCTCCACCTCCTCCTCCTCTTCCTCCTCTTCCCCTCGCCCCCACGCGGCCCCCAGGGATGGCCCGAAGAGGCCTTCCAAGGCCACCCCCTTGCTCCCAGAGATCTCTCGGTTCATCCTGGTTGCTCGCATTGTTTCCCTAGATGTGTCCCTTCGTCCCTTTTCCCGTCAGATCTCGTGGGCAGGGCTTCTGAACGTCAGTGTCCGAAAACACATGGGAATTCCAACATTCTAACATAAAACCTTCAAAAACACCATGTCAGTTCAATGATTTTGGCCCCGATTCTCAAAGAATGGCGGTTTCGCCTGAGACATCCTCCGAAAATCGAGCCCCGACGTACCCTCTGGTACCCCAGACCCCGCCTCGGAGCTTCCTGGGGGCCTCCTGTAACCTCCTAGGGCCTCCTGGGGCCTCCTGGGGCCTGCGGTCTCTTGGTCGGGCCTCCTGGGGCATCTTGCGGCCTCCATGGACATCCTCGCAACTGCGAGCCCAGACGTACTCTCCTCCGGCATCCTGGAGCCGCTTGCGGCCTCCTGGTCGGGCCTCCTGAGGCCGCCATGGACATCCTCGCAACCTCGATCCCAGACGACCCCTCCTGGGGCCTCCTGGAATACTTTCCGGCATCCTGGTCGGGCCTCCTGAGGCTTCCTGGGCGCCCGTGGTACACGCATCGCAAGGTGTGCCAACCCTGCTTGCGCTCGAGTGCGACCCCGCTATTGCACTTCACTCCCAGCAGCTATCCTCCTCCTCCTCCTCCTCCTCCTCCTCCTCCTCCTCCTCCTCCTCTTCTCGTCCTTCTCTTTCCCTCCACATCTAGTGAAACAAATCGGCTGGTGGGAATCGTGCTTACACTTCTCTTGTTAATCGCTTCGCTCATTCCGCCAGCCCATCTTGCATCACTGGTGCTATTATATGTTCGTGCGCTTCTGGCGAGCGGGAAGGATGATGAGGAGCAGGAGGCTCCAAATGACCTTTCAATTGTTGTATGAGCCTGGGCACACACGTGCCATTTGTATATGTATATATATGTGTATATATACCGATACATATATGTATATATATATATACATATACATTAACAGATTTACATACACAATACGAGACGTCAAATGCACGCGACGTTAGGCAATCGTCAAGCACAGGACGGAGGAAGCAAGGGGGGAGGAGCAGAAGGAATACAAGGAGCGCAGACACTACGCCACGGCCGATGTATTGAAGTGTTACGAGTGCATCCCCACATGATCCAGCCGACCATTCACAGAATAGATGGGCACCACACAGCAGCAAAAAAAAGAGAGCAGCAGCACACTGCGAAACAACTGAAAAATTATCATTCCCCGAACTCCTGGTGCGACACAGCGGGGGAACCAGCAAGGTGTGAGGGAGAAGGAGAAATACAGTGATCCTCCTCCTCCCCCTCCTCCTCCTCCTCCTCCTCCTCCCCCTCCTCCTTCTTCTCCTCCTGCTCCTCCTCCTCCTCCTCGCCCTCCTCCTCCCTCTTCCTACTCCTCCTCAAAGCCGCAATCACCAAAATGATGCGGTTGGCACGCCCGCGAACACGAACGGCACAGAGCAGTGCCCTAAGTCTGGGTGCGAAGAGAACGCATCAGACTCAGGTTGAAATAGGGCGGCCGCGAGAGAGCCTCAGCCCGCTGGAGGCCCTGTGCAAGCCTGAGGCGGCCCAGGGAAAACCAAGGAGAAACCAAGGAGTGGCAACGGCAACACCGACTCACAAGAGTGACGAGTTCGCTGCCCATGATCCAGCCTATGGCAGAAGGGACTTGAACAGAGGCACTGACGCTCAGAGAGGCGAAATTGCACATGGGGGGCGACACTGTTACAGGACCACCGACGGCAGAGAACGCAAGCCCAGCAACGGCACGAAGTACGAAGGGCGGCGACAGACATACACTCGAATTGGCACAACGAGTGCACTCGAGAGTGGTGTCTGCGCATTCCAGGAACCAGAAGGCGTCTGAGACTGTTGCTGGAGGAGTGCACGTCGAGCCTCTTGGAAACGAACGGCAATCTGCACACCTTGCCGTACACGGAGCGGGGAGGGAGGGGAGGAGGGGAAAACAGAGAGAGGGACGAAAAGCTGTCACATGGCTGGCGGGCGGACGGGCCTGGTTGATCACGCACTGCTCGAGTTCCATCTCGTCAATGGCGGAACGGGTCCTGCGTTCGAAATCTCATGGTATGGCCACTCCCGCGAGCTGGACTGCGCCGTCGCGTAGCAGCGAATGAGGTCTGGACTGTCCGACCACGCCACCGTGACGACGTTGAGCCTCTTGACCCTCTTCCCGCTGTCTGGCAGCAAAGGGTACACTTCACACCCTTGTATGATTCTGCGTATAAATACGTCGCTGCCATCTTGGTAATGTACTGGTCGAAAGCTGCCGCTCGAGGTGAGTCAAGATATTGATACTGGAGCTTGGCTTTGGCCACTTGGGTCCATGCGCTGAATACATGACCGTGTGGGTGAGCAAGACTGGCGATCTGGACGGTGTTATCTTCCTTCGTGCAATTCTTCGCCGCCTGCGCACGGTTCTCTGTAGAACCTCCCCAATCCAATACGATTGCCGGAAAATCCTCGACGACACAGCAGTACTGAAGGCCAACTTCGATCTGAGAGGAACGAGTGGGAGGCGCGCATCTATACACCGACCTGTTCGGGCCGATTTCTTTTGGAGCGCGTGTGCCAAGACAGCGTTAGCGTAGTTGCCGACAGAGGGAGCGAATGCCATGCGCCCCAAGCAAGGCCGCAGCGGCCGAGGCACGAGCTCGCACGAGCGCGGCAATCTCGTGCTGTGGGGCTCCCTGGCGTCGCTGCTTGGGCACGGAGGAGAATCGGTACCCCGCTCGGGGGGGCCTCCGCCTTCTCGGAGCGCCCCACGAGCCGCTGCGGAGAGCCCTGCCAGCTGGCGGGCTCGAGCAAACGCGCCTGCTTCTCGGCAGCAGAGGGCCCCTCCCTCCTGCTGGCCTCGAGCTGGCTACAGAAGGTGAGCCCGAGATCCGACGCCGCAGCGACACGAATTAGCTGGAGAGGCAGAGTTTAGGGACAAAAAACGGCACAACACACACAAACTCCTGGCGTGCCGCACGGATTTCTTGGATCTGCGCCGGGCCCCCCCTCCCTGGCGCGCGGAGCGCGCCAGGGGCGGGCGGCGCCAGAAGCGCCGCCAGGGGGGACCCAGGCGCCGATCCAAGAAACCCGCTCGGAGCGCCAAAGGTTTACTTTTATGGCGTTTCTTCCTCTTCGACAGAGAGAACGTGCACGAGCTGGTTACAGAAGGTTTAGAGACGGGTACGGTTGTGAGAGCTGGCCTCGAGCTGGTTAGACAAGGGAATCATGAGATCGAACGCCACAGCGACACTGCTAAGCTGGATAGGCAGAGAGAGCGTGCAGCGAGAGAAAGAACGAGTTTGGGTATGGGACGCACAGAGACATACGAATACGATAGATCCTCCTTGGAGGCGCGCGCGTCCGACCCGAAGATATAGCGCACCCATATTGTAGCACATCGTTTCCCGAGCGGCGTGGCCAGAAGGCGCCCGTCACGACGCAGGTACTGGAAAAGATTTCTCGGGGCGCGCGTCGCCCCTGGGGGGGCCACGCACACGTAGTACCTGCGTGGTCCAAAACCCGGATAACAGGGCGACCGAAGGGCGTGGAACGGCCTTTCGAAGTGCTCTGGAAGGACCTGGAGAGAGCTGCCCAAGGACCTTGTTGCGGGACGGGAAAATGACCACAGCCACTGCTTCTTGTTTGCGCCGCCTTCCAGCCGGCCGAAAAAGAAGCAGTGGTTGTGGTCATTTCCATGGTGCCAAGCTCAACGACAATGACCACAACCACTGCGTTGTTGCTGCGGGCTGGAAGGCGTCAACAAAAGAAAAGCAGTGGCTGTGGTCGTTTTCACGCCCCGTACTTGTGGAGAGCTTCTGGGCACGCAGCTTGGGAAACGCTCAGAAAAGGCCTGCCGGATTACGCTGCAGCCTCAAGCAACTCTCTCCGAGGTGTCCTGCCGGAAGCTGGAACGACATCCGGGGCTACCCTGCGGCTCCGGCCCCTTAATCTGAAATTAGCATGCTGGGGGGACGCCGATGGGGGGACGCCGATGGGTACGGCGGAGGACCAGGAGGCACAAGCGGGCGGGCGGGGAGGGGCCTCTCCCAGAAGCGGGCGCGGGGTGGGCGAGGAGGCGCCGCTCCTGCGAGGCCCAGGCCTCCCAGTGCGGCAGCACCTTCGGCACTCGCGCGCGGGCCGCCGGCAGCCGGCCGCCACCCCAGGAGGCGCCGCAAGTTTCATCTCCTCAAGCCTCCTCGCCCTCCTCTTCCTCCTCCTCGCCCTCCTCTTCCTCCTCCTTGCCCTCCTCCTCCTCCTCCTCCTCCTCCTCCTCCTCCGCCTCCTCCTCCTCCTCCTCCTCCTCCTCCTCCTCCTCCTCCTCCTCCTCCTCCTCCCCTCTCCTCCTCCTCCTCCTCCTCCTCCTCCTCCTCCTCCTCCTCCCCTCCTCCTCCTCCTCCTCCTCCTCCTCCTCCTCCTCCTCCTCCTCCCTCCTCCTCCTCCTCCTCCTCCCCCTCCTCCTCTCCTTCCTCCTCCTCCTCCTCCTCCTCCTCCTCCTCCTCCTCCTCCTCCTCCTCCTCCTCCTCCTCCTCCTCCTCCTCCTCCTCCCTCCTCCTCCTCCTCCTCCTCCTCCTCCTCTCCTCCTCCTCCTCCCCCCCTCCTCCTCCTCCTCCCCTCCTCCTTCTCCTCCTCCTCCTCCTCCGGGAGGAGGAGGGGACTCAGCTACCCCCTGGGAGGGGACTTAGCTAACCCCCCCTTTGAACCTCCCCTGCTCGAACCCCCCCCCCGCCCTACCCGCTTTTTGGCTAAAGGGGGGGTGGAAGCCCCCCCCTTTGGGCTAAAGGAAAGAGCGCCGAAGACCAAAAGGGCGCCGAAAACCAACAGAGCGTCGAAAACCGAAGGACCACCGAAAACCGAAAGGGTGCCAAAACCAGAAGGGCGCCGAAAACCGAAGGGACGCCGAAAACCGAAAGGGCGCCGAAAACCGAAGGTGTGCCGAAAACCAACGATGCGCCGAAAACCAAAGGAGCGCCGAAATCCAAAAGGTCGCCGACAACCAAGAGGGAGCCGAAAACCAAAGAAGCGCCGAAAACCAAAAGGGGCGCCGAAAACCAAAGGGGCGACGAAAACCCAAAGGCGCCGAAGACCAAAAGAACGCCCTGAACCAAAGAGGCGCCGGAAACCACAAAAGGCTCCGAAAACCGAAGGGGCGCCGAAAACCGAAGATGCGCCGAAAACCCAAAAAGCCCCGAAGACCAGAACAGCGCCGAAACCCCAAAGGGCGCCGAAAACCGAAAGGGCGCCGGAACCCAAAAGGGCGCCGAAACCACAAGGTCGCCAAACATGAAAAAACCGCCAAGAACCAAAGGGGCGCGGAAAACCAATAGGGCCCCGACAACCAAAGGATCGCCAAACACCAAAAGAGCACCGAATACCAAAACGGTGCCGAAAACCAAAAGGGCCCAAAGCACCCAAAGGCACAGAAAACCAGAACGGCGCCGAAAACCAAAAGACCGCCGAATACAACAGGGGCGCCGAGAATCAAAGGAGCGCCGAAACCCGAAAAGGCGCCGAAACCCCAAAGGGCTCCGAAAACCAAAGAGCGCCGACACCCAGAAGGGCGCCGAAAACCATAAAAGGCTCCGAAAACCGAAGGGGCGCCGAAAACCGAAGATGCGCCGAAAACCCAAAGAGCCCCGAAGACCAAAGCAGCGCCGAAACTCCACAAGGCGCCGAAAACGGAAAGGGCGCCGGAACCCAAAAGGGCGCCGAAAACCACAAGGTCGCCGAACATGAAAAGACCGCCAAGAACCAAAGGGGCGCGGAAAACCAGTAGGGCGCCAACAACCAAAGGATCGCCAAACACCATAAGGGCACCGAATACCAAAACGGTGCCGAAAACCAAAGGGGCCCCGAACATCCAAAGGGCACCGAAAACCAGAACGGCACCGAAAACCAAAAGAACGCCGAATACAACAGGGGCATCGAGAACCAAAGGAGCGCCGAACCCCGAACGGGCGCCGAAAATCAAAGGGGCACCGAAAACCAAGGGGGCGCAGAAAACCAAAAGGAGGACGAAAACCAAAAAAACGCCGAAAACAAAAAGTGGCGCCGAAATCCAAGAGGTCGCCGGCAACAAAAAGAGGGCCGAAAACAACACGAACACAGGAAACCAAAAATTGCGCCGAAACCCAAGAGGGCGCCGAAAACCAAAGGGGCGTCGAAAACCAAGGGGCGCCGAAAACAGAAACAAGTGTCGAAAACCAAAGGATCGCCGAAAACCAGAGGGTACCGAAAACCAAAAGGGCGCCGGAAAACCAAAGGGGCGCCGAACATGAAAAGACCGCCAAAAACCAAAGGGGCGCAGAAAACCAATAGGGCGCCGACAACCAGTGGCTCGCCAAACACCATAAGGGCACCAAATACCCAAACGGTGTCGAAAACCACCAAAGGGGCGCGGAAAACCAATAGGGCGCCGAAAACCAGAACGGCGCCGAAAACCAGAACGGCGCCGAAAACCAATAGAACGCCGAATATAACAGGGGCGCCGAGAACCAAAACGGCGCCGAAAACCGAAAGGGCGCCGAAAACCAAAGGGGCGCCGAAAACCAAGGGGGCGCAGAAAACCAAAAGGAGGAAACAAAGACAAAAAAGCGCCGAACACAAAAGGGGGCGCCAAAAACCAAAAATGTGCCGGAAACCAAAACAGCCCCGAAAACAAAAAGGATACCGAAAACCAAAAGGGCGCAGAAAACCGAAAGGGCGCCAAAAGCCGAAAGCGCGCCGAAAGTCAAAGGGCGCCGAAAACCAAAGGGGTGCCGAAAACCAAATAGCGCTGAAAACTAAAGGGGCGCCGAAACCAAAACGGCGCCGAAAACCTCGAGGGAGTCGAAAACCAAAGGGGCGCCAGAACCCAAGAGGGCGCCGAAAACCCACGATGCGCCGAAAGCCAAGAAGGGTGCGCAGAAAACGAAAATGGGCGCCGAAAACCAAAATGGGCGCCGAAATCCAGAGGAGCGCCGAAAACCAAAGGAACCGAGCACCAAAGAGGCGCCAGAGGCCAAAGGGACGCCGAAAAGAGGCGTCAGAGACCAAAGAGGCGCCAGCGACCAAAGAGGCGCCTGAGGCGTCAGAGACCAAAGAGGCGCCAAGAGGCGCCAGAGGCTCCAGAAAAGAGGGGAGGTAGCTTGGAAGCCCCCCACTCTCCTTTACTTCGGGCCCCCCTAGCTCCGAAATGCCCACAGAAGGAAGGGAACCCCGTTTCCAAGGGAGGGGGGAGGTAGCCTCAAGCCGGGCCCCCCCTCTTCATGAGAATTGTGCCACGAGCACGCTCTGTCCTTCCTTACCTGCCAAAGGTAGTTGGCGCAGATCCTGAAACAGGGGAAGAGAGGGAGGATGGAAGGCAGGGGCAAGGGGGGAGGAGAAGGATGCATCAGGAGGGAAAAAACACACAGACACAATGAATCGTCGACCCCGAGGAAAATATAGGAAGATGTGGGAAGTGGGGGGGGGGGAAGACAAAAACCCAGAAAATATTTGAAAATATAGGGAATCCTCTTATTTGTATGTATTTATGTGTGTGTTCCAGGGCCCCTTCAATGCAGCACGAGAGAGATTAGCAGGAGGGGGGGGGGGAGCAGAAAACAAGGGGCAGAACCAGACGGGCGGGTCGGGCGGGCGGAAGGTCAATAATCACTTACTCTGTAGGAATGAGAAATCAACCACAAATTTTAGACGGCTTGGACCTGAAACAGTGAGCGTGGAGGGAAAAGGCTACGCGGAGCAAAATATGTTAGTGTCAGCCCGACTGTGCAAGCCGTGTGGCGCGGGCCGTGCTGTGCAAGCTGTGCGGCGTGACCTGCACGGCACGAGCTCTGCGTGGCGCAAGCCGTGCGATGAACCGCCGCGTGGCGTGCGCTGCACCGTGCGAAGCGCTGCGGGCGCGGGCCGTGCAGCGTGAGCTCCGCTCTGCAGGCCGGGTGGCCCCACACCGGGGCACGGGAGGCGCCCAAAGGGGCACCCGCCAGCGGGCACCGGGCGGCACCTCGGCGGACCCACCCCAAGGGCACGCGGCAGCCCACGAAGGCGCCCCCACGGGCGGCCACACGGGCGGAGATCTTGGCGGGCCCGCCCAGGGCGCGCGGCAGCCCACGAAGGCGCCCACGAGGCGCCCCCGGGCGGGAGCACGGAGCATCCTCGGCGGAGGCGTCCACTCTGCTGTGGTGAGCATAGTCCAAGTCCCCAGGTGCAGCTCTGCTCGGGGAAGGGACTACAAAGATGGAGCACGGCTCCTCGTAACATCGAGCACTCGACGGAGTGGTCTCCCCGAGGTTACGACCATGAAGCCTGAAACTTCTGTCAATTCAACGGATGGAAGGCGACCCCTTTTCAAAAACGTGCTCTCACTGTGGCGCTGCGCACATTGTCGTGAAGCTTGCGCGTCATGGATTTACACTGTCAGACTTTACTCTTAGCACTGGTGCACGATTCAACGCATCTCAGGTTGGGAGCGAGAAGGAAGTGAAACGGAGCGGCACCCCTCTCGAACGTGCGGGCAAGGCGAAGCTGCGTGTGCTGGCGAGTCAAAAATACAACAGTGGCTGGAATGTGTTGGTTCTTCGCCAAAAGTCTCGCAAGTTGCAACGTGCAGTTTCTCCATGCGGCTGTTCTGGGCGGCTGTCCCGCGGTTGCGCCGTTGGCAGACAGTTAGATCATCCGCTCGATTGGTGTCAAGTGAATGCATGTGTAGATGACTAGATGAGCTGTGACAGAACTAGGCCTGCACCTCGCTGGCTATATATATATATGTAAATATATACATATATATACAACTTCTCTATTATAGAATGTCCCGCAAATGTCCTGCAATTTGCTCGTGGTCGTCCCGTGATTGTCCCGTGCGGTTGTCCCGCAATTGTCACGTAGACGGCCGTTGGTTCGGGTGCTGGCGTGTGAGGCCAATCGGGTTATTGGTTTCGGTTTCGGTTCGTCTCGAGTCGCGCTGTCGAGGCGATGATGCATATGTGGGCGAGAGGGATGACGAACCGCAACTCGGGGCATAGTCGGCAAAGCGCGTGGTTCTCTGCCAGGATGGAGTCGTTCGGGTCGCCCCGCGGTTTTAAAGTGCGGTTGCCCCGTGCGGTTGCCCCATAGTCGTCCCAAAGCGCTTCCGTTGCTGTCCCGCAGATGCTTTTCGACGAAAGATGTGCTGGAGCGTTTTTGGCCCTGTCTGTGCCCGTGGACCACAGCGGCCTCCAGAGACCTCCAGGGTCACGGCGGCTACGAAGCTGGCGGAGGACAGGAAGAGCGACGCCGGCTCCAGAAGAGGGGGGGGGCCCCACACCCAGGGGTCTCGGGGGAAGATCGAGACCAGCGACGCAGGCGACGCCAGCGGCGACGCCGAGGACGACGGCGACGACGAGGACCCTCCGCCGGGCACCGCATGCTGCAGTGCGACCCTCTCGCTCAGCGGTGCGGCGGGCCGCGCGCCAGGCAGGCCCGCGGCCCAGCGCCGCAGGAAGGCCCTGCGCGGCTGCTCTTCGAGGGCTGCGGCGGCGGCGGCGGGCGGCGGCCGACGACAGCGACGATGAAGACGACGGCGGCGGCGTCGTTGGCATCGGTGTCGTCGCCGCAGCCGCCCTCCCTCCTTCTCGCCCTCCCCCTCTCCGCATGTTCATCCCCATCCTCGTCCGCATCCCTCCCCCGGATCCTCTTTCCCCTCATCCTCTGCCTCCTCCCCCTCCTCGGGCTCGTTCTTCTTCCTCGGCAGCGAGTCACGCAGCATCCCCGCGGTCACAGCAGGCAGACGCCGCTATACGAGCGAGAGAGAGAGAGACAGCCCGCGCGCACGCGCCCAGAGGCGGCCTCCGAGGGGCGTGCCCCCGAGACGGCCCCACCCTTGCCGCGCGGAGAACCGATCGGCAGAAGAACGGCCCGACAATACCCCGAGGATCCCCGCGGGTGCCGTTCCCAGAGACCAGTGCCCCAAGACGAACCAATAGGGCCCCAAGAGGGCCCCGAGAGGGCCTCCGAGACCGTCCAAGGGGGCCCCGAGGCGGCCCAAGAGGGCCCAAAGACGACCCAAGGCGGCCTCAAGACGGCCCAAGGGGCCCACAAGGCCCCCCGAGTGGCCTCGAAGAGGACCGCCAAGATGGCCACAAGAAGCAAAGAGCATTGAGCCCCTTTGGCGTCTTCGCCATGACGGATCAGGGCTGGGCGAATACGGCTCCAGAAAGATGATCGGGAGGTCTTCAAATTGTCCAACAAGTCGCAACACGACAAACATTGAACAGTGTCCCCTGCCGCGCTACAGCCCTGCTCGGCCACGTCCTGCAGCGCGGTGGCGGATACGCGGAAGAGCGCAAGTGGATACGTACCTAAACGACCACCCTTCGGGTGATAAGGAGGTGAGGGGGGAGTAGGAACCAACGCGTCACTCAATACATCTCGCGATAGATCCCACTATCGATCTCACTATCGATATCACTCGATCGATCTCACTATCGATCTCACTATCGATGTCACAATCGGTCTCACAACCGATCTCATTATCGATCTGATTCAGTCGATCTCACTATCGATATCACTATCGATCTCACCTTCCGCTTCACTATCGATCTAACAATCGATCGCACACTCGGTCTCACATTCGGTCTCACTATCGATCTCACTTTCGATCTCACTATCGATCCCACATTCGGTCTCATAATCGATCTCACTATCGACCGCACTATCGATCTCACAATCGACCTCACTATCGATCTCACAATCGATCCTACCATCGACCCCACAATCGACCTCACTATCGATCTCACTATCGATATCACTATCGATCTCACATTCGGTCTCACTATGGAACTGACAATCGATATCACAATCAATCTCACAATCGATCTCACAATCGGTCCCAGTATCGATCTTTCAATCGATCTCATAATCGGTCTCACTATCGATCTCACAATCGATCTCACTATCGATCTCACAATCGATCTCACAATCGATCTCACCATCGATCCCACTATCGATCTCACATTCGATCTCACAATCGATCTCACTTTCGGTGTCACTATCAATGTCACGATCGATCTCACTATCGATCTCACTATCGATATCACTATCGATCCAACATTCGGTCTCACATTCGGTCTCACAATCGATCTCACTATCGATCTCACCATCGATCTCACTATCGATCCCACTATCAGACTAAGGATCTCAGAATATATCTCACTATCGATCTCACATTCGGTCTCACTATCGATCTCACTATCGATCTCACTATCGATCTCAATATCGATCTCACGATCGGTCTCACAGTCGATCTCACTATCGATCTCACGACAGGACACCGACGGGACACCGACGGGACACCGACGGGACAACGGCAGGCCACCGACGGGACAATGTGGGCTACCACTTGACAAGGCCGGGGGGGAAGCATTTGTGTTGGCGGACCCCTAGCGACAGCAGAGTGAATTCCTCTCGCCCGCCCACGCAGCTTCGCCTTGCCCGCACGCACGACACGAACACGAAACCGAAACCGATTTCCCGGTGGGGGGCTCTCCGTTCCACTTCGATCTCACCCTCTCACCTACGATCGATCTCACTGTCGATCTCACAATCGATCTAACTATCGATCTCACAATCGATCTCACAATCGATCTCACTATCGATCCCACTATCGATCTCACATTCGATCTCACAATCGATCTCACTTTCGGTGTCACTCTCAATTTCACGATCGATCTCACTATCGATCTCACTATCGATCTCACTATCGATCCAACATTCGGTCTCACGTTCGGTCTCACAATCGATCTCACTATCGATCTCACCATCGATCTCACTATCGATCCCACTATCAGACTATGGATCTCACAATATATCTCACTATCGATCTCACTATCGATCTCACATTCGGTCTCACTATTGATCTCAATCGATATCACAATCGATCTCACAATCGATCTCACAATCGATCTCACATTCGGTCTCACTATCGATCTCACTATCGATCTCACTATCGATCTCACGATCGGTCTCACAGTCGATCTCACGATCGATCTCACGACAGGACACCGACGGGACACCGACGGGACACCGACGGGACAACGGCGAGCCACCGACGGGATATCTCACTATCGATCTCACTATCGATCTCACATTCGGTCTCACTATCGATCTCACAATCGATCTCACAATCGATCTCACTCTCGATCCCACATTCGGTCTCACTATCGATCTCACTATCGATCTCACTATCGATCTCACTATCGATCTCACGATCGGTCTCACAGTCGATCTCACTATCGATTTCACGACAGGACACCGACGGGACACCGACGCGACACCGACGGGACAACGGCGAGCCACCGACGGGACAATACGGGCCCCCGCTTGACAAGGCCGGGGGGGGAAAAATTTGTGTTGGCGGACCCCTAGCGACAGCAGAGTGAATTCCTCTCGCCCGCCCACGCAGCTTCGCCTCGCCCGCACGCACGACACGAACACGAAACCGAAACCGATTTCCCGGTGGGGGCTCTCCGTTCCACTTCGATCTCACCCCCTCACCTCCGATGGCCATGTGTGTAAATTAACAGATGTGTACATACCAGAACGTACATACACGTATACATGTGTGCGTGTGCAGATACATGCTTACACTCACACACGTGTCCGTATACGCATCTGGATCCATCCAGCCTCCAGACGTGGATGGTCTACCAGGTTCTTGTTTCCAAACCCGTGTTTCGCCGCCCCTCCCCATGCCTCCAACCCTGGGTCCGGGCAGAGAGAGGCCCGAGGGGAGGGAGCGTCCAAGAAGGCCCATGCCTCCAATGTAACAAAAAAGTAGCCCAAGATGGCGCCAGGCTGCCTCCGACATGCCCGAACGAGGCCCAAAAAACGCCCAAGTGGCCTCCAAGCCTCCCATGGACGCTCCCATAAGGCCCAACTTCATGTCAAATAGATGTTTGGGCTGCCTGCTTTTTGCCGCGTCTGATGTGCTGTGGAACGTTCAAGACGGCTGCAAAATGGGCTAAGAGAGCCCTAGTCGGGGCCCAGGAGGGCTCCAAGACGGCCCCGAGAGCGCTCCAAGAGCGCCCCAAGAAGGCCCCAGGAGGCGATGTCGAGGTCCCCGACGAGGGGGGCGCAATCAAGATCCCCCACTTCTTGGATAGATAGCCTCCAAGATGGTTCCCACAAAAAGGCCCCCAAGCCCCGAAGAGGGCCCAAGAGAGCTCTAAGAGCACCTCGAGGACTCCCGAAAGGGCCCCATCAGAGCTCCAATAGACCTTCCAGAGGCTCCCCCGGGCTCTCTAAGTTCACCATTGTTGGCCTGCTTTCTTTACAGTATGACCATATGCTAATGCATGCCCCTCCTCCAGTCTAAGCATCTCCTCCAGACAACTCCCCTGGGCATCGTTTCTGGATGGGCTGGCGTGGACACTCAAAGCGTCCAGAACTGACGGATAAGTATATGATTGCTGTGCGCTACTATGCCTGGTGTGCCTACCTCTGCATCTACAACAAATACGTACCGCACTACATATACATCTACACCTGCACTCCGCCGCCGCACTTCTCAAATCGGCGGCGAGCGAGGGGGGACGTGAGAAGGAGAAGGTCTTCTCAGAAGGCTCGGAAGTCCCCCAGCCTTCTGAAAAGTGTTCTGCGCCTTCACCGAAGACAAACAAAACTTCTCAGAAGGCGCGAGGGCTTGGGAGAAGTCCCGCCGCCTTCTGAGACGGCCTTCTCCTTCTCACTTCCCCCCCTCGCCCGCCGCCGATCAAACCCCTTCCTGTCTTCATCCCTCCCATTCCATCTCTACCTCCTCCCTCCTCCCTCGCCCCCCCTCCACCCTCCACTGGCTCCCGCGGGGGGGAGGGCCCCCGACCTTTTCCTCTTCTGGGACTAGGCCTGGCGGTGGTGTACGTGGTGGATCCTCGTGTGATCCAGTGCGCCACCCGCCAGGCCCCCAGCCCCCACACCTCATCGAGCACGCACCTTGCGAAACCGCGCGTCGCATCAACCCCTGGCTCCCGACCGCAGTCTGCCGGAACACATGGCCCAAAGACCCCTCCCGGGGCCCCTCCTGCCGGGCATTTTTTCCTCCCGCCTCCACCTCTGATGGCCCCAAGAGGCCCCACACGAGCCCCTGGCGCTGAGATTCAAGGCAAAAACTGCTACGCATCTGCCGATCTCGCCCTCCCTGCTCCCCCTCCTCCTTCTCCTCCTCCTCCTCCTCTTCCTCCTCCTCCTCCTCCTCCTCCTCCTCCTCCTCCTCCTCCTCGCCCTCCTCCTCCCTCTCCTCCTCTCCTCCTCCTCCTCCTCCTCCTCCTCCTCGTCCGCTCCTCCTCCTCCTCCTCCTCTCCTCCTCCTCCTCCTCCTCCTCCTCCTCCTCCTGCTCCTCTCCTCCTCCTCCTCCTCCTCCTCCTCCTCCTCCTCCGACTCTGACTCCGACTCGCCTCTCCTCCTCCTCCTCCTCCTCCTCCTCCTCCTCTCCTCCTCCTCCTCCTCCTCCTCCTCCCTCCTCCTCCTCCTCCTCTCTCCTCCCTCCCTCCTCCTCCTCCTCCTCCTCCCTCCTCCTCCTCCTCCTCCTCCTCCTCCTCCTCCCTCTCTCCTCCTCCTCCCTCCTCCTCCTCCTCCTCCTCCTCCCTCCCTCCTCCCTCCTCCTCCTCCTCCTCCTCCTCCTCCTCCTCCTCCTCCTCCTCCTCCCTCCTCCTCCTCCTCTCCTCCTCCTCCTCCTCCTCCTCCTCCTCCTCCTTTCCTTATGAATAACTTCGTCCCGTCGCACCACAAGGCCAGTTTTTAGGGCGGGCCGGGTATTTCGCCGAAGGCTTCCTCACTACTTATGACCCTGAAACTTGAAACATGACAATATCTTCACAGATGGAAGGCGGGTGGTTTTCAAAGTGTGGCTCTCGCTTTAGCGCCGCCCACATTCGTCTTAGAAACTTGACCGGGTTTCACGGATTGAGGGCGGGTCGTTTTCAAAATGTGGCTCTCGCAGTAGCGCCGCGCATACTCGCTTGAAAAAATGCCAGGGCTTCACGGATTGAGGGCGGGTCGTTTTCAAAATGTGGCTATCGCTTTAGCGCCGCGCACACTCGTTTAAAAACTTTGCAAGAGCTTCACGGATTGAGGGCGGGTCCTTCTAAGGATGTGGCTCTCGCTTTAGCGCCGCGCACATTCAATTGCAACATTTGCAAGAGCTTCACAGATGGAGGGCGGTTCCTTTTCAAAATGTGGCTCTCGCCTTAGCGCCGTGCACGTTCGTTTTGTTTTTGACCAGAAAGTTGAAAGAGTGCCACGGATTGCCACGATCAACAAACCAAGGATTATGAGGGTGCAACAGTTACGCTGGTTCGCGGTGTTGAAGTCCCAGGAATGGTGTTCTGGCACGATTCAAGATCGTCAAGACGCAACAGTCAGGTTGATCCGCGGCGTTGGAAGCCCGAGAACAATGTTTTGGCATGCTTCAGGGTCGTCAAACTGTTGTCTTCCAACGAGGCAGTTTCCGAAGTGGGAAGGAACCGTTGTAGGGGCCTTTGGGTTTCCACTGGTCCTCCTCCTCCTCCTCCTCCTTCTCCTCCTCCTCCTCTTCCCCTTCCGTGCTCCCCTGCTCCCCCCTTCCCCGTGGACCTGCCACACGCTGAGCCGCGCCACAACGCCGGCGACGCCGGCGTCGTCGTCGTCCGCCGAGCTCCCCGCGCGGGCCTGCCCCACGGCGAGCCGCGCAGGAGCCACGCCTCGGGCCGGAGCCCCCAGTGGCCGGCGGAGATGACCAGCGAGGTGGCCACACCGGCCCGACCTCGCGGAGCGGGCGGCGGCGGCGGCAACGGCGGTGGCATGGACGGCAACGGCGACGACGACGGCGATGACGAAAACGACGACGACGACGACTAATACGACGAACACGACGCCGAATACGACGACGACGAGGACGACGACGACGAATACCGACGACGACGGCGACGGCGACGGCGACGGCGACGGCGACAGTGACGGCGACGGCGGCGGCGACGACGACGACGACGACGACGACGACGACGACTGTGTAAGGCGACTACGACGACGACAAACACAACAACGACGACGACGACGACGACGACGACAGCGACAGCGGCCGCGGCTGGTGCGACGGCGCACGACGGCGACGACGACGACGACGACAACGACAACGACGACGACGAAGATGACGACGACACCGACGACGAAGTCGTTTTGATGTTTTTGGACGTTTCTGAAGGTTTTCCTCTTCACGGGTGGGCTCGGCTGGGATAACGAGCCGAGATGGACCTTGGGAGGGATCTGGGGACTGACTTGGAAAGGACTTAGCTCGGACGACGGACTGCGACACGGATTGAGCAGGGACCGACCGTCCTAAAGTCCTACCACGAAATGTTCTTAGAACCCGAAAATGTTCTAACAAAACAAGGTTCTTAGAACATAATACGATGTGTGCAAAATAATACAGACTCCGCTAGACATGCTCTAAGAACATTTCGTGGAAACCACAAAAAGTTCTTAGAACATTGCTTGGTTGGCAAAAGACGAGCCAGGACGCTTCGCCACTGCTTGAACGAAGGCGCACGTGTCGACAGTTACCAGATTCGCTAGTTGACTGGAGCGAGACCGGAAAACACGTGCTGGGGGCTCCTCGCCCTCTTCCTCTACCCAACTTTCCCCTCAGGGCTGCGCCGACCGCCGTGAGGCGCGAGCAGCGACGGCACAGACAGGCTCGGCTCGGCCACCACCGCACCTCGCGCCACTGCCGCCCTCCTCCAGCGCTGCGTCTGCTCCGACTAGCTCTTCACCCATCCCCTGCTCCTCCGCTTCGGCCGCCTTGCGAATAAGCACAAAGGCCACTGGCAAATAAAACATAACAAACACGCCACGCATCTACCACGCATCTACCACTGCCACGCATCTACCACTGCACATAGTGATACAACCACGATTGCTGTTGAGACTGATAAGACTACTACCACTACTGATACTACGAATATTACTACTACTACTACTACTACTACTACTACTACTACTACTACTACTACTACTACTACGGCTACTACTACTACTACTACTACTACTACTACTACTACTAATACGACCACTACTACTACTACTACTACTACTACGACGACGACTACTATTA